TCAAATGGTGGCAAAGAAACTGTTGGAAGACATCCTCCCCAGGTATGGTTTCCACAGATGATAGGGTCAGATGGACTGGCTTTTGTGACCAAGGTAAGTCAGAGTCTGGCCACAGTTCTGGGAATTGATTGGAAACTACATTGTGCTTATAGAACCCAGAGTTCAGGAAAGGTAGAGAGAATGAATAGAACTCCGAAAGAGACCTTAACTAAATTGACCTTAGAGACTGGTGGTGACTGGGTGTCTCTCCTTCCATTTGCACTCTATTGAGTGCGTAACTCCCCTTACCAGATGGGATTAACCACCTTTGAGATAAGGTTTGGAGTGCCCCCTCCCATTATTCCTATCTCTCTAGGCCCATACAGAAAACCAGGTTGGTTCTATGTTTGCCCAGGGCCTGGAACTCCAAAATACAAGTCCCAGAGAAACAAGTGTGGAGAGGATAGCGCTACTTATTGCACTTGCTGGGGCTGTTAAACGATGGGACACATATGATGGACCCCCTCCCCAGGGAGGAGATCTTCTTAAGGTAACATGGGAGCAACCGAAACCCACTATCAGTTCCTCCAGAGTTTGGGTGATGAAAAACATGAGATGAGGGAGCGCCCATGATTGGGCCCCCAAGGTACTAGTCAGAGGGGGGGATGAGAGACCTGAGTGACTCCATCTTGGATAAAACCTCCATGGGACTGACCCAGCCCTGAACCCCATTCCAGGAAAAAACACAAAAAAGTATACTTGGAACAGATAGAGAACAACTCCCCTGCCAACAGTCAATTAACCAGGGACAGGAAAGTACTAAAAGTCCAGATGTCTTTTCAGATTTCCTGAAGCCAGCAGTTTATGGTTTGGCACTGAGCTGCAACCAATCAGATGCTTACCAGGCTGAAGACCCCCTTCTCCCCTACTTGCTGAACTTGCTGAAATAAACCAATGAAAACCTCTGTTTCCCAAAGCAAGGGGTCTCACATCTGAGATCCGCTGGGTCGGTGACAGAGTGGGCCCAAGCTTAAGCTTGTAACAATAAAAAACCCTGTGTGTTTGCATCGGTCAGCTCCTTGGTGGTCTTTGGGGTCTCATGTACTGGGCACAACATCTTGGGGGCTTGTCCGGGATCCCCAAGACCACCAGGAGCCCTGAACCGAAGGGTTCCTGGCCAGCTGGTAAGTGTCTGTTTCTAGTTATGTCGGTCTGTGTCTGTCCTAGATTTTGTTCTGAGCCTCGAGGCACAGCCCTGAACCGAAGGGTTCCTGGCCAGCTGGTAAGTGTCTGTTTCTAGTTACGTCGGTCTGTGTCTGTCCTAGATTTTGTTCTGAGCCTCGAGGCAAACTTGTGAACAGTGTGGTCAGGAGTGGTTGGAGTGGATGAGCTGGGTGTCAGTTTTTCTTCCGCATGAGCGGGGGAATTTGCTACTTGGCCTTATGTGTGTCTTTCTGGCTCTCTGTTTTGTCTTTGGTTGTCTATTTCTCTGTGACTGAGATGGACACAATGGGACAGACTCCCTCTACACCCCTGGACCTGGTTCTTGCACATTTTGGAGAGGTTAAGACTCGAGCCCATAACCTCTCTGTTGTCAGGAAGGATAAACTAACTACTTTCTGCAGGTCTGAATGGCCCACTTTCAACGTGGGATGGCCCTCGGAGGGGACCTTTGATCCTGCTGTCATTAATGCAGTTGAGAAAATTATTCTTCAACCACGTGTAGGACACTTGGATTAAATATCATACATAGTGGTCTGGGGAGATTTAGTTAATAACCCCCCTCCTTGAGTCAAGTCTTTTCTTCCTTTACAGAAAACTGAGGTGCTGACGACTGCAGAACGGAAAACAACAACCCAGAAAACACCTAAACCTGAAACCAAACCATCAGTACCGTCACTGTACCGTCTTACAGGGCATCACAGAAGAAGACCTAATTTTTCCTCCCCCTCCTTACCCACCTCCTCCACAGGAGGTACCCCTTCCAGAACCAGCACCCCTGGTACCAGATTCTTCACAGGCACGGGGGGACCAGCTCAGGGGACTAGGAGTAGAAGGGCAGCAACACCAGAGGGTCCAGACTCTACTGTTCTACCCTCAGAGTCGCCGGCCCCACGGATAAGGCTGGCAACCAGCCCCATCACTATTGGCCATTCGCCACTAGTGACCTTTACAACTGGAGAACCCAGAATGCTCCCTTTTCTGAAAATCCTAAGGAGCTTATTAATTTATTAGAAACTGTCTTATTCACACACCAACCCACTTGGGATGATTGTCATCAATTATTACAGGTCCTGTTTACCACAGAGGAAAGAGAACGTATCCCAACAGAAGCCAGGAAGTTAATTCCTGGCAATAGTGGTGTCCTTACTACTGACCTGACACCAATTGATGCTGCCTATCCACTGCCCCGGCCTGATTATAATACTGCAGAAGGTAAGGGGAGGCTTCTGGTTTACCACCAGGCTATGCTGGCAGGTCTCAAAGCGGCTGCTTATAGGCCAACTAATTTGGCAAAGGTATAGGATAGTAGCCAGGAACTAAATGAAAGCCCAGCTGCATTCTTGGGATGAATAAAGGATGCCTTCTGCAGGTACACTCCATTAGACATGGAGGCCAAAGATAATTTACCGGCAGTGGCCATGGCTTTTGTTAACCAGTTAGCTCCGGATATAAAGAAAAAGCTCCAAAGAGTGGAGAGACTGGGTGAGAAAACCTTAAGGGATTTAATAACTGTGGCCGAGAAAGTGTACAATAATAGGGATAGTGCAGAGGAAAAACAGATAAAGGCAGAAAGGAGGCAGAACAAGGACCTGGCAAGGATCCTGCTGGCTGCCACTGTGGATCCAGAGGACCGGTGGAGGCATCTGAGACAGATAGCGTCGGGGAAAGGAGGTAAGGAAACTTTCAGAAAGGAGGGCGACCTCGACTAGGGAAAAATCAGTGTGCATATTGTAAAGAAGAAGGCCAACAGGTTCGAGAATGCCCCAATAAGAAAAGCCCTGCCAAGGTACTCAACCTTGGCATGGGAAATAGTAACTAGGGTAGACAGGGTTTGGCCCCCTCCCCAAACCTAGGGCAACCCTAAAGGTGGAGGGAAAACCAATCAGTTTTTTGGTGGATACAGGAGACCAACACTCAGTGCTCCTCAAGCCTGATGGTCTCCTGTTAAACAAAGTATCATGGGTCCAGGGGGCCACGGGAATGAAACAATATCCACAGACTACTGGAAGAACAGTGGACTTGGGAATGGGCTGGGTATCCCATTCTTTCATGGTCATACCAGAATGCCCATACCCCTTGCTGGGGCAGGATCTGTTGACAAAATAGAAGCCCAGATACATTTTTCATCAGAAGGCACCCGAATATTAGACAAATCAGGAGAGCCCATCCATGTGTTGACCACTACCTTGATGGATGACTATCATTTATACAAACCCACCCTGACACCAGATTCGGCCATTGAGGCCTGGATGGAGAGATTCCCCTCAGCATGGGCCGAAACTAGAGGGCTGGGGTTAGCTAAACATTGGGCTCCAATCTTTGTGGAACTAAAACCAGGAGTTGATCCAGCCAGAATTTGTCAGTATCCAATGTCCTTGGAGGCCTGATTGGGCATCACTCCTCATATTAGGAGGTTATTGGGCTCAGGGGTTTTAAGGCCCTGTCAGTCAGCATGGAACCCCCCCCCCCTGCTGCCAGTAAAGAAGCCCCATTCCAATGATTATAGGCCGGTGCAGGATCTACGGGAAGTGAACAAATGGGTGATGGACATTCACTCTACAGTGCCTAACCCTTATACTTTATTAAGTGCACTCCTGCCAGAACATCAGTGGTATATGGTTCTGGATTTAAGAGATGCCTTCTTTAGCCTTCCCTTATGTGGGGACCTAAAGGCCCCACCTTGCATAGGTCCTAGAGGAAGTTACTGGGGGCATGGCCTAGCTTGCTTTGAAAGTCTGAAGAATACTTCTGCACTGCTGAGGAGTGCATGGTCAGTGTGTGACCATCCTTAAGATACACCCTCAGGGGGAGGGGGGGGAGTTCTAGGTGCCTTTATAAGCTTTGGAACACTTGCAATAAATAAGTCCCTGCTTGACTAGGCGTCTGAGTGTCCCCAGGTAATGGGGGCAGCGTGGGCTGGCGAATGGCATGCTTACTCATCCCCAAGCCTCACCTCGCCAGGGGTCACTGGTTCGAACCCCCGGCATCTGGTGCTCAATGTGGCGCTTGAAGGAAGGTGAAAAGAAGAAAAGAAGTAAGAAAGAAGTGAAACGGATTAGGGTCAATCGGAGGTTCGGGGTAAGCAAGACCCTAAAAAAATCAGTAACGCAATTTTTAAGTTTCAAGACCCGGTGCTTAAAGCA